CGCGGGGCGGGCCGGGCTCGGTGCGCGGCCCGGGCTGGGAGCGCGGCCCGGCGGGCGGGCAGCGCTGCCGCTCCGTGCACCCCGCGGTAACCAACGCCCGCCTGAAAGCGTCTCCTTCTTCCTAAGAAGACTCCTTAGTGGCGCAGCGGAGCGTTTGGGCCACGTTCCGTTGCCCGTTTCTGCTGCAGTGCGGGGCTGCAGGCGAGGCCCGGCTCACGCCCGTGCTCCTGTGCGCGGGCAGTGTGGGCAGGAACGAAGCTTCTTCCGTAGGTGTTCGCTCTGCGTTCCCGCGGCGCCCGGCCTCTCGCTCGCCAGTGTTAAAGCGTGGGAGGGAGAAGCACTAAAGGTCGCTCACCCCGCGCGCCGGGTGCTTGGGGGATCCCTTAAAATGGCTGTGGATGTGGCAAGATGGAGGAGGGCTCCATGTGGAGGCTGGAGGCTCCGTGCCCAGTTCCAGGCAGCCGCGGGAGCTCCGGGCACTCGGATGCTGCCCCTGACACCGCAGTTGTTTCAGGATGTCGCCTTGAGAGCGTTGCCACAAGACTGATGAGCAATATCTGACTGAAGGGGTGTCAGAATAACCTCTGTTTAATGCACAGATAAACATAGGCCTCAGTCCTAGGCCCACTCAGAAGGAGACCTCCATTTCAGTAGAATACACCATAATTTAACTAATATACATTCATCTTTTCATTTTCTTTGGACAGTTCATTAGAAAATGTGAAATGGTTTTAATCAATATTTTGCATAATTTTATACCATAATTAGTTTTTTTTCTTAAAAAAAGGGTTTTCTTTCTGTATAGAGTGGAATAACTGTATGTTTGATAATAAATTTTTTTTAAAAAAGTGGTGCATGGTCTTTGCTCTTCTTGACAATTCTGATTTATTTTAAGGGAGAAGCTTTATGTGAATTTCAGATATAGAAAGTATTGTGACTGTGTGCCAAGTTGTCTTTTAGAGGAAATAATTGTAGGAAAGAACTTCTGTGGGGCGTTTGAATGATTTGTTTTTAATGTAAAACCAATTCTTTTAATTCTCTTAATTAAAGCAACGTGTTATACTTGAGCAAAGCGCTTTGGGTCTCTCCCAGTCTTTTGCTGTCAAGTTAGCAACGATAGTTGTGACTGTGTAGTTGGTCACTAGGGCAGTTACCTCTGCTTAACAGAGACACTGTCAGTGTTAAGTTGGTAGTATATGTCCAGTATGTAGTAGTAAAGTTCAATCGAATGTGCATTTGTATGGGGTTCTTTAAAAAAAAGAAACTCAGTGTCTTCTGGTTCTTTTAAAAATCCTCCTCCTCTCAGGAAATGAGTGGTTTTGCCTCTGCAATCCCAGAGCAGCCTTTGCTTGGAGGCAGCCTATGAGCCTGGTGTGGGAGAGGGGCTGGAGTAAAATCTTGCCTGTTTGATCATGTATGATAACTGCATGCTGTTTGTCACATCCTCTTTATTCATTACATAGCAAAATAAAAAAAGGGAACTGAAACACTGAAAATGTTTTTCTTTAGAATGATGAGCTAAGTTTGAATGTGTTTGAAGTAAAGGGGTATTTCAGTAATACAGGGCAATGTAAGAAGATGCCGGTGAGTTCTCTCTTTGACAGTGAGCAGCAAGGTTTGGAAAACTATTGCAGTGCCAAAAAAGAAAACTGCCTTTACAGTGAGTGATTTTAGAATAACCACACCACCAAGGATGTTTTTCCTAATTTTTGTTTGTTTTAACCTTTATATAAATTGTCTATCCAGTGTTTGGAATATGTTTTGACAGCCACTCTCTTGATCTCAGTATCCACCCGACTGAGACTTTCTTAACAGGGTGCTTTAGGTAGTAAGAGCATTGTGCTAAATGCTGCTCTCTGTAGATAAACTTGGAGAATAATTTGTTTTCAGAAGCATAAGCAACTGTCTTCCGTAGGATATATTGAAATGCAATGGAATCTAGAAATACTTTAGGGTCTATATGCAGATGCGTGTGTCTGTGCAGCACTATATCTGTAAAGAGGAATGTTAAAATAAGAAAGATATTGAATAGATTTTAGTCATTGCTGTTGACATCATATGACTGACATTTATCCTGTATGTGTCTCAAAAGGGCAATTCTTGTTTATTTTCCACATAGCTGTGGTCTGTAGTCTTGGCAAAAGCCTTTAAAGCTGAGCTCTTGTCCATGTTAAATATGGAAAAGAGACAGTGAGAGGTGTGGAACGACCTAATATTCTGCACAGGTTGATGCCATGGTGGATTTTCACCACTGTTTTCCCTCTGTTTTCCATTGGATTGATTATTTTGCTTGTTTTTTCATACTCTGTATTACTAGGAGGGAGTGATTGCTTGTCCAGATGTGCAGAAATGAACTAAGAGCACTAAGAAAAGTGCAAGTCATTATTTTAGAAAACCACAGATTATTTTGATTTAATTATTTTGAGAATATGTGAAGTAGAAATTGCCTCTTGTTATGATTAAGTATTCAAGATTCTTGGATTGGAAACATTGGCACTGATTAAAAAAGAACTTTTGTCTGTACTTAAGGATTTTCAAGTTGCCTTGAAATTCCTGATATATAAAAACAAACTCATGGTTCTGTGTTTCTAGGAAGGCTTGTAGCTTCTTTCTCTCTTACAGAGATTCTCAAATGATGGACACCTGTAGTGCTTAATAATATCTTTTCCTGAGGCAGAGGCTGTGTATGAACTGAAATTACATTTTGGTGCTTAGTTCTGTTACTAAGAATCTTTCTTTTAAGGTTAAATTAGGCTTAAATACATTTTTGAAGGTAAAATTTTTGAAAATGGAAGAAACACATAAACAGTCCAGGTTTTGACAGACATCAGATCATTTTATGAATTCAAGAACATTTTGACTGTGAACAATCATTAAATGATTCATTGATTGTGTATGTTTTGCTTACAGTTAATGGTTGTGTGTGCATGATACAATATTGTATTAACAGTATATTTGCACACTGTAATTCAGCTGTATTAATCAGCTGTACTAATCAGTAGTAGTGCACTGATTAGTAAATCTTAACTGACTTAATCTTCTGCTTTTTATTTCTTTAGTGCTGCAGGTTGACTGAATGAAGGACTGGGAATATAACATGGATGCAGTTCCCTGAGCAGTTTTCCTTCCCAAGTGTGTATTTCCCAGATTGGTGACCTGGATGATTGACTGATAAGCAGCATACACAAGACCAATAGCAAGAAAACTCTCTGCCTGTTGCTTCTGTGGTTTGAATATACTGCTACAGAGCTGCATCTTCTGAAATGCAGTTGAAGAAAATGAGGGAAATCTTACCAAAATTGTATCCTGGACAACTTAGTGATGGAAATAATTCCTTAAGCACCTCCCCAAAACAGTCTTCAGAGGATAAAACAAATCCATCAAAAGGGGATGATGACCAGAATTGCTGTTACCAAGGGACTGAGGCTGAGAATAATAAGTTCTCACTAATAAACTGTATAAAATGCGGAAATGTTCAGAAATTTTCAATGCAAGATATAGAAAAGCATAAGAAGCTTGGGTGGACTGAAGACAAGTCTTTCATCTGCAAGAAATGCAGTCATGTTACACCAGCTGCTCTCCATTTTGTTCCTGAGGGTGCCAGTGCTGCAAACTTTGAAAAACATGAAAAGCCATCCCCAATTAAAAACCAGAAAACTTTTAAGGTAAAGAACTTTCTGCCAGGGAAATACTACTGTGATAAATGCAGATTTTCAACAAAGGATCCTTTGCAGTATAAAAAGCATGTAAGTCAACACGATGAAATTAAATTTCTTTGTTCCCACTGCAGTTATGTATCCTACACCAAAGGAGAATTCCAGAGGCATTTGGTGAAACACACTGGAACTTTTCCATATCAGTGTGAATACTGTGACTATGGTGCTGTTAGACATGATTATATAGTAAAACATACAAGAAGAGTACATGAAAAGCCCACAAAACGGCTAACAAATGGCACTGCAAACCATAAGCAGAAGAAGTCCAGCTTGCCAAGTCAAAGCACTTTATATCAAAAGCAGAAATATGATAAGAAAAAACCTTTACGAAATGAAATTTCAAATTCATCTTCAAATACTGTTTGTGAGGTTCCAGATAAATTGACTAAAATAGTGTGCTTGTCTCATGATATAGAATGTAGCATAAATGCAGCATCCAACCAGGACAAAACAGTGTTGGAGCCATCCGAAATAACTGTATGTGAGAATCAAAGTGTGGAAGTTGAGGTGTATTCTCCCAAAACAGAACCTTTGCAACCTGGGATGCCTTTAACAGTAATTGCACCATCTGAACTTGTAGTTCCCTCTAACTGCTTAGCTCAAATAGTAGAGATTAAAATAGTGAATGGAGCACGACAGCTGGTCCTCAAACTAATTCCTATGAAAGATGGAACTTCCAAACCTGCAAACTGTGCTGAAGAGGAAGCCGAGAATCAAGGTATAGAACGACCTACAGAAGGAAAAAAATTATCTTCTGCGTTTCAAAATGAGTTGCTAACCATGGAAGTGAATGTAGACAAATTATCCAGTGTTAGTAACCAGTTTACATCAGATGGCACATACAGTAGGAATTCTGAATGTTTTTGTACTTCTAGCAGTCAACCCCCAGACTCTAACTCTGCATCCGCACAGAAGGAAGATGCATCAAAATTATGCTTTCATTTGGTGAAAGGCATTGATGTCCGTTCCAGTGTTTTAGAACTTTGTTCTCAGTCTCTAGTGACTTCTAGTACTGAAAAAGTAAGTGATCCTAAATCCTTAAGGAGAGAAACTGATGGAAAAAATAATTTGCGTTATGACTTGTACTGTTACGAAGGAAGTCTGGATGTATCCTCTTCCAAATACGCCACTACTTCTGAAGATAAAAGTTGCAAGAATGTTTCAGGAAGGGCTGCTCAGGACAGCAAAAATGCCTCCTCTTCTGCACTCCTTAAGGAAAAGCCTTTGAAGAGTGAAGACAATGAATGTAAGAGTCCGCTTGTCAACACTCCAGGTATATGTTTATTTACTACGGATTTTGATAACAAATCTGTTAAATCTCCTGAAGCAGGAAGAAATTTTCACGTCACTAAATCTTCACCTTTGGAGCATACGAATGTTAACTTAAGCAAACTGAAGGGAGTTGATACCATAAATCCAAAGAACAATCTTCTCCTGGAATCATTAGAATTACAGAGAATGGAAAATTATGGCAGCCCTTTCGAGGGACCTGTCATTTCATCTGTGTTTTCTCTTAGCTCTGGTACTGAAAATGTTCCAGAAGGCATTAGATGGGATGATACAACATGCAGTAAGAAGTCAGCAACGTTGCTGTGCAGAAAGATTGCTCAGTTGATGTCCGCTGCTGAGTCTAACATGAAATCTATGCCTTTGAGATGCCAAGCCGCTAGCAAAAAGGTGCTTTTGTCTCAGGAAAATTCAGCAAGCTGTGAGAGAATTGCCTCTGCTGCTGAGTTGGAACAATCTGCATCTTTGCCTCAGCTGCTTGCCGGGAACAGTCTGATTAGTGGTGAAGAACCCAGTGAAGAACAACTCCTTACAGTTGCCCAAGCATCTAAAAGCCGGCTGACTAAGAATTCCCATGTTGCCACTCCGGTGTTTATTCCCAAAGGGACAGTGCTGAGAGTGCTGAACGCTGCTAGCGGCCAAAGCACCCCTGGAATAGAAAGCAGGAGTGAAACAGCAGCTCCTTCTGTGTATTGCAATGAAATGCTGCTGCCTCGGCCGGTGCCTGTCACTGTTTCTGAGAAAGCTGCCGCTTATTTGCCATGTTTCTCTTACCAGAGTGAACCCAACGCCCCAGCCCGGAATATATCACTGAGACAAAGACCAAAGCGAGAGGCAAGTGTGAAAAATAACAGTAAACAAAGTAGCGGCTCGTATCAAAAGAATAGCGATGTGAGTAAGCAAAGCAAGCTCCATTCAAAGAGTCAGCAAGGACCCAAAAGTAAAGGGAAACAAGCAAGCTTCAGGGAGCTGCCCAGGAGGAAAACAAGAACTCAGTCAGAAACCAGTTCTGGTTCTGATATGGCCTATCTGCTGACAGCAAGACGACTTAGGCTGGTCCCTTTGCGAACGGATCAGTTGATAAAATGCCCTCGTCGTAACCAGCCCGTTGTGGTATTAAACCATCCTGATGTTGACTCGCCAGAGATAATTAATGTCATGAAGACCATCAACAAGTATAAAGGTCACGTCCTGAAAGTAGTTCTCTCGGAACGGACAAGTAGTTGCCTTGGTGTGAAACGTTACCGAAAGCGTCTCACTCTTCAGAATGCAGAGACAGGAAATCAAGCAAAAAAGCAGAATATGTTAAAAATGAAACTAAAAAAAACACATAAAAATAACTACCAGGTGGTGGAAGCTTCACCAGCTGAATCCCTTCAGTGTATGTTTAAGTGCTGGTTTTGTGGAAGGGTATATGTGGACCAGGAGGAGTGGATAAGTCATGGACAGAGACACTTGATAGAGGCAACCAAGGGTTGGGATGTTCTTTCTCTTCCAGCAAAAAACATCAAGTGAGAGATTAGTTTATTTATGTTATTTTTAATGACTGACACTACTTTGTTTGGAAGGGAAGATGGAAATAACTCTTTAATTTTGCCAAAAAGGTATGTATTGTTAGCAAAGTGGGAAATGAGAGCGGAGTTCCAGAGATAACGAGAAGCCAATAGTGAGGGCTAAGCACTACTTTGCACTCTCATATTTGAAATAAGTATTGGAAGACAACTTCATCTGTTCCCCGAGAGAAATCTGAAGATTTGCTATGCAAACATCTTTCTAGTTGTCATTTTCTGTGCTAGGATACTGTGCTTGTAATTGGTCTGTGCTAGCTGGGTATGGATTGGAATCTTAGACTCCAAGATAGGTGTAAATTTAACTTTTTTAATTACAACATAGTGTTTCAGAAATCAGGCATACAAGTATTAAAAAGCACCTTTGATCCTCTGTGGGCAGCAAGTATACATCTAGCTTTAGTGACAAAGTGCCCTGAAAAAGAAACGTAAATGAAAGTGTCCTGTTGTAGTGGGACAGAAGCTCCTCTGCGGACTTCACTGGTGTGCAGGGTTATAAATGAAGAATCAGTGAAAGCAGTTGCTCCCACTGCGTAAGATGGCACTGAAAACCCTAAGCGTGTGTAGGGCTTAGTGTGGCCTCTGAGAGAGACAAGGATCTTGCTGTTTTTTTTGTGCTACCCTTGTTCTGAGCAGACAGAGCCCTAGGTTTCATCAAACTCGGAAGCTTCTCTTTCCTGGCAGCCTGTGTGGGGCCAGCAGACTGCTCAGATGCTCGAGGAGCCAAGAGGCAGCCCTATACCTGCCTCTCGCCCTGTGCTCGTGCAGCCTGCTGGAAACCCTGCTGCAGAATTGGGCATTTTGCTAGATCTCTGCGCAGCAAGTTCACGCTTAGGCACAGGGAGAACTTGCTGAAGTCTCTTCAAGCTGAGAAACCATGTGGCACAGCTTTTATGTCGACAGTGTTTAACCGGATTTCCAGTGTAGTCTCTCATCCTTCTTTAGATTAAGGAGTCGGATATTTAGAATGTATTTTAGGTAGGCCTCAATTCATACAAGTATTTGCCTAGTTACCTGTGTACATATGGTGTGTTTACTGATTGAGTGCAGTGTAAGCAGTTTACTTAGCTGCTTAAGTACTTTTCTAAATTAGGACTGAATTTCAAGTTTTTAGTAAAGAAGAAGGAGAGATGACACTGAAGTCTGAAGTTTCTGTACGTGAGTGTTTTCTTCGTCCTGTTAATCATTCTGTTCTAAAATTATATAGAATGAACTATATTGAATTAAGCACATACTTGCAATTAAATCACTTCTTACATTTTTACAGATAACAATACTCTTATGCTGGATATGTATTATATGTTTGAACTGGAGCTACTCTTTGGAAAAACTTGTAGTTCCTAACTTCTTTTCACTGTTGATGCATTTTTGTAAACGATTTAACTAGGCTGGAAATATTTTTTTTATATACTCTGGCAGATTATACATTGCTTTTGATAAAGTATGTACGGTCTCTGTATTGAAATGTAAATATTTTAGGACTTTAAAGTACGTCTTCTGATTGAGGTTTATTTTACAAAAAGGCGCTTAGAACCATTTTGCTTCCCAACCATTTTGCAATACAGTGTTAAAATCCTTCAGATATTTGGTGCTTTCAGAAGTCAGATCTGATACATCATTGTGTTCACATTAAACATTTTTGTATCATTTGTGCCATGGGGTAGTCTCTTCCACAGAACAAATTTCCTTTTATCTGTGTTGTCAGTAATAATGAAATGACAGTTCTCATTTTGTATTCAAATGGAATTATATTTTTTTAGATGGGTACACTAGAGGGTTTTTTCACTTCATGTACTTTGATGCCAAACCTAGCAGTACTGTTTGCATTTTTGATTGTGAAAATACTTTTATTTTAAAGTCCTGCCATATCACATGTAATACTGCAATTGTTAACATAGGAAAAAACATGATTAATTTTCTCTGTTGTTTAAACTCCTTAAGTCCAGGTTACTATTTGAATTAATTTTGTCTCTGTAGAAGCTACTAAATAAATGTTTTCGAATTCTCTTAAGAGTTGTCGCTGGCAAAATTAGAACATTCCTAACAAATGCTGTATTTTTTTGTGTGTGTTTAAGTGTTGTTCAGCATTAGGAACTGCAGATGTTTAAAACATCCTTGTAATGTTTTTTTCTTTGCTTTAGTAGACATCTACAAAAACCTATGTTAGTGACGCAGTCTGTCTAAATTGTAAGCTGTGTTATTTTTTTCACGTAATTAGTTTGGAAAATGGCTTTTTTAAAAATATGATGCCTTTCATAAATTAAATTGTATAGTGGCTACAGAACTCTGAAAGCCTCTTGCTGCAGCCTGTGTTTCCTGCCTCTTCCCGTTTCGATGAGTTCAGCCAGGCGACCTCCGCTATTTTGAAGAATTTCCTTCAGGAGTTTCAGTAGTCCCAATGGTTTCAGGTAAATAATTGCACTGGATGCCCTCTTGCATTTGGATGCAGCATATAGGAGTAAAAAGCTTCAAGTACATCAACCAGCAGCTGCTCTGTTTTTGTAGACTAGCCCGTGTCATTATGTACTTTGTCATAATTTGGCCTGGAGTGTTGTGCTGGGGGCTTGAATATTTTTATTCCTCTTGTTCCTTTTGTGTAAGGGTAAAGCAACCGAGGCTGCTCTCTGGTATTGTCCAATTAGCTAGACAAACTTTGAGCATCCTTAGAAAGGGAGATTATTAATGCTACGTGTTTGCTTTTCATATGCCGACTAAGCTTAAGGCTTAATATTATAGTTTATACTGGAAAAATATCACGTGGTGGAAAATATTTTTTGTTGAGCTTGAACACTTACACTGCTCCCAGTAATGTCTTTCATCTCTAGATTAGCACAGGCAATTCAGAGGAATTGTTTTTATAAACGGTCTTACTGTAGGTGTTGGAAAGCTCAAATATGAATGCAGATATCTCACTTGAGCTGAAGAATAAGTCCTACTTGTGTCAAGTAACAGGATTTATTTCACTAAAGCTTATAAAAGTAATAATACCAGACCTTATAATTGTCCCCTACATTGACACCAGATTTCAGTGGCTATTGAATACTGTTTAATGTACACCCAAGATACATATGCACAATGAGTACAAGCCAACTTACACAGACACATCGGTGATGTTAGGGCAGAAAGCTTTTTTTGCGCAAGGTGAAGGGGTTTGTGAGGTAGCACTGCTCTCTCTGGTTTCCTGATTTGTCCTTTCCATCAATAAGTGTGATGGGAACATATTTGTAGAAGTCAATGATTTCTTTCACAGAATTAAATTTCTGTGGAGGGGGGGAAAAAAGATCAAATTTTAATCAGTGGCTGAAAATTGAAATACTGGAAATCTTTGTCTCAGTGAGGGTGACAGTGAGGGTCACAGTGAGGGTGACAGAGCACTGGAACAGGCTGCCCAGAGAGGTTGTGGAGTCTCCTTCTTTGGAGATCTTTAAAACCCGCTTGGACGCAGCCCTGTGCCACGTGCTCTAGGTGACCCTGCGTGTGCAGAAGGGTTGGACTCGATGACCTCTGAGGTCCCTTCCAACCTTAGGCATTCCATGATTCCATGATCCATTCCCATTGTCACAGTAATGTTTGTCCTCAGCCCTTTGGGTTCATCATTATTAAAACACTAGAATTGTATGCAATAGGAAACTTTACTATGACCTTATACTTGCCTCTATCTAAAAGGCACATTTAATACATTGTTTCTTACATTACATTTACATCCATGGGTGAGAACATCTCATGATTTTCAGCTAATTGACACTCAATTTATAACTTGAGAATCTTTCAGATGAAGTCTGTGCTCTGGTCAACTACTACTTCATTATCCTGGCATTGAAATAATTTGATCCCAAAGTGATTGTAGTTACTTCATAATGTTCAAGATTGCCGTTGTTACTAGGAATCTAGGTAAAATTGTAGTTTATTTCCTGCCATTCCAAAGTATTTTTTTGCCTTTTTTAAATCTTAAACTTGTTCTGTAGTAGCTCTGCTTCCTTTCCTGTTGCCTTTATTTTTGTTTGTTGAAATATTGTGCTAATGGTTTATTCTCCGCTTCACATGGCAAGTGTCACGTGTCACTGCACTGCTAAGCTGTAGCTCACTTAAAGTGGGGGAAAATTTGCACCTCAGCTGTTACACTTCTGGGTTTCTTTCCTGATTTCTTCCATCCTCCATTCTCATTTGAGATTTAAAATACTAAGTCTTGAGTCCCTTCCATGGCTGCTAGACCATAAAATTGACTTGGATATCATAAGGACAAGCACTGACTGTCCTAAGCGTTGACTTTTTGGCCCTTTTAATGGAACCCCGTGCCTTCTGTTAGACATAAAGCCACAAAGATGAAGAAAATGCCGCCCTTCAGGATTCTTCTCCCTTGACTGTCTCAAGAAATTGAAACGGATATTTGCTCTTAGAGATGTCCTACAGGAGACAGGTATAGCGTCTTAAAGGTCATTCATTAATTTCATATAACTGTCATTAAAAAAAAAAGGGGGGGGGGGGGCCTGGTGCAGAGACTAAAGTCTGTCACTGAGTAGTGTCCACGTAAGTACAGTGATTGTGCTGCTTTCTGGTTCTTCCTGAGTTCAGCGAGGTCTCTCAGGATTTTGAGATTTCATTTTGCAAAGGAGTTAACAAGAACAGTGTTTAATTTCTGTGTCCTGATTAGTTTTGAATGTGAGCAAGGTTCTGACTCGTTCTGAGCTGTCAAAAGAGCTGTGTGCATGACCAGAAGGGATGCAGATATCTGAGGATCTTTAATATTGAAAATGATTTTAGAGGGAGAGCTGACACAGCCTGGCGTTGTTTTAACACCCCAAGACAAAAACCTTGAGAGATGCTGCAGCTGAGATTTTAATTTTCAGGAAAAAGCAATCTGTGAAATCCTTTGAGATGATCTGAGATGAAAGTACCTCTGCTGAACAGGGCTGTTCCTTCATTACTGCTTAGGTGCTTTTTGCCTACTTCAGTGTGTTTATTTTCATATCTGAAAATAATGCAGAGAAATGGGGGGGTTGTCTTCCCTGTGACACCCCAATGCTACACAGAACTGATCGTCTATCACAGCAATGTTTTTTTTTCTTCTGTTGTAGTTAATCTATGGGAGATTTCTAAACCAAAGGAAAAAAACTTCTACTTAGAAAGAAGATTTAAGATCATGTTACAATTATTGACTTGTCTGTTACAGCCAAGTCTTAGGTAGGGTGTTGGTAATAATTCTTATCCTGGAACTGCATACTTTTTACTCTGAGTAGTGTCATTACAGAACCACTGCTTAAGGTGTTTGTTTTCTGTGAACAAGTTGAAACCAAGGAGTAATCATGATTTTTTCGGTATTTCCTGAGACAGGAGGAATGAGGTGAATGACATTCTTCTTCCTTCTGGTTCTGTAAAAGTTTTCTATTCTCCTTTAAAATTGTTTTCATATTGCATTCAGGTCACTTTCTAGCTGCTGTAATTGTCAGATGTACTAAAATGTTAAAGCTTCAGCTTTGCCATTAACTTATAGAAATGTGTAGCACATACTACATTATTTTGTAGTTCACTGTATTTGTTTCGTTCTATTTTTTTATTTGGCCGTCTCTTCTAATCTGAAACTGTATGATTTTGGTCATTATAGCAAGACTAAACAACCTAACAGTCATGGAAACCTAAACTTGCCTTCTGTTAAGGACATGCTGAAACTCCATACAATTTCCTAGGATGTCCAGTGCAGAGCAGGTAGGCCTGCAGAGGACTGATAGTCCTCAGCAGCAATGCCATGATGAAATATGCAGTGGTGCTTTCAGTTTGCTCTAGCTTTCTGCTTCCCGAGCTGTTTTATTGTGTTTGCACAACAAAGTGGGCGTTTTGACTCGTTATTAAACCAGTGCTCTTAAAGAAAAAATTACCCGTAAAACCTGTATCTCAAATCTGAAAACTCATGAATCCTATTTCACAGTTTGTAAGAGAGTCCAAATTTAGTCTTAGTCCTAGCAAATTCATCAAGTCAGCTAGTTTCAAGTTCAGCTTTTCAAGGAAGATATGCTTTAAACACATGCATCGGAAGGATGGAATTGAAAACAGCCTCAGTGACTTTTCCACGTCAGTTGGCAGTCTATTGATTGCCTGTTTTATAATCATCATCATCACAGTGTCTTGTTCTCCTTTCCTGCTGCAAAGTCTTGTGCTTCCTTATGCGTGATCTGGTGCTTGGACAGGACTTCTGTAACCTTTTTTTTTTTTTTTTTTTTTTTTTTTTTTTTTTTTTTTNTTTTTTTTTTCTTTTTTTTTTTGCAAGTATTGTATCTTTATGGAGATAACTGTTTCAGTTCTGAAACAGTTCTATTTGTTTTTCTTCATATGGGGAAGACAAGTAGATACAGTATTATTTAACCAGATAGTTGGAATAGCAGTTGACTTTTAAGAATGTAATTAAATTAAATTATGCAAAGCAGCATATTGCTAATTAAAAGAATTTTCTAATTTAAATTTATCATATTTCAAAGACTGACAGAGGGACAAGAATCACTCTCTCATTGCTTCTGAATATCCATGACAATTTTAGTTGTATTTCCTCATTTTTAAAGATGCTGACTTCCCTTTTGCTATTTGAGAGAGCCAAGACGAGAAACTGGCTAATTATACAACAATAATAGCAGCAGTGCATGCTGTCAGATGTATAGAGGTGCCTATGTTTTAAAATATCTACTTATATTGTAAAAAAAAAAAAAAAACCAAAATCTCTCTTAAGTCTAAAGATGTATATGTTGAAAGGAAGGGCACCTCCCCTTTGCTTTGCAGATGTTACTTACAGTCAGAGTAGGTAGATTTAGGCAGACATCAATTCTTAGGAAACCTTCACACCGATTTACATCAGAATTTGATTTAAACTATTGAGAAACCGATTGAAAGATTAAAACACACTTGAAATGAGAAGCCTGCAAAAAAACGAGTGAAGCTCAAAGTGACCTTCCTATGTGGGGGGATTTAGAACTAATCACCTTTAGCACTAAGAGCTGTTAAGTGCGACATGCAAGCAACAGATTATAACATTAGATGATATTTTACTTACGTCATCTCCTCTGAGCCCTGTTCCCAGTGCATACTGCTGGCTCTCCTCCAGAAAACGTACTTTAATGTTGTATACCTTTTTTCCATAATAGACAACCAAAACATATGGCTCAGCGCTTGACTTCTTTGAACAATCTCTGACCAAGAATGTCTCATCCTGTATGACACAGATTGTAATAGCTGTTTTAAGCGTAAATCCTAATGAAGAGTGTTTTCTTACATTGCCCATAACTATAGTTTGGGGATAAATCTTCCAATTATTATATCATCACTGTATTACTCAGCTGAACAAAATGTACTTCTTAAATAGATAAGTCTATTAATTTCTTAAATAGAATTTAAGAAGTAGGCAGTTCAGCAAAGTGTTTAACCATAGTGAAACTGCTTGTATGAAAATAGCTAATTTCTGTCATGAATCATACACAGTCAACAGACTGACTGACACTAGTGAAAAATAGCAGCCAGGTCAGTACTGCTGTGCAGTCTATACGGCACAATATTAATCTGAAATATATAGTGATAAAAAGAAAAAATAATGTAGATCGGTAAAAGTAAATCGTTATGCCATTCTCCAAAGTTGGTATAAATGAAATGAAGTCCAAAACATCCCCTATATCGTTGTTCTTGCTGATAGCCCTTCTAGGTACAGAGCTGTGAACTAGGCTAAGCGTCAGAGACCATTGTTGCAATGAGGTGACAAAAACCACCCTTTTACTCGTTGCTTTTCTCTGACGCTGCTTACTTGTACAAGCAGGAAGGGGATGGATTCTTTGTTTCCTAAAGTCTTCTGAATGGCCAGTTCAGAGTAGTGCAAAAAAACCCCTGTACAGCTGATTGGTAGCCTCAAGCCATTACTCTAAATGGGATTTCCTTCCTTAAGGAAGAGTTGAGCCCTTTGAGAAACTGACTTCTCTCCCATCTGCCATGGGATCCAGTACTTTATTTAAAATTTTATGCAATGAAGTAGTCTGAAGAAACACTGTAAAGTCCATCCTGGGCATATGTGTCTGGAGAGTTAAGTGACCACAGAATTTAGGAAAGCTGACAATACTGGAATAACTGGATGCTGCTGTCCTCAGCCTCTCTCTACAGCGGGTGTGCGGCTGCAGCCTGGAGGAAACGCAGCCCCTGCAGCAGCGTCTGCCTGGAGCGCCCTGTTGGGCATTAACCCTTCATAGTGCCCTGCTTGTCCTGTCCCACACTCTGTCCTCCAGCATGCTCTGTCTTTGCAGCCTGTGCCTGGGAATCCTAGAGTAAAATTACCCCCAAATAAAAACGGTCACTGTATCTACTGTAATCCACAATGTGCTTGGGGAGGGAGACTCCTCATGCTACTGCAAGGTTCTCAAAATCTGTTATTTCATAAGGAAAGGTCTAGTCCTCGCTGAAGATGAGAGTTGGATAAGTGCCCGCAAATGACTCAGCAGAGGCAGGGAGGGATTAAAAATAGTCAATAATGATAAAAAAAAAATCCAGTCCTCAGAATTTTGGGTAGTGGAGGTTGACAGGTGTGAATGGGACTCTCATATTTCAGTCCTAAAACATGATTTCAGTCTCTGAATAAGTTAGAGGTTAAGATATTTTATGCCTTTTGTGGTCCATACAATGGTGTTTTTTTGTCTGCTTGTTTTTAAATTGACAGCTTGAGCAGTGTATTTTTATCTCACCCACTTTGCCTAGAGTGGAGCACTGAAAGCATCTTTGCTAGGCATCATGAAGAAATACTCTGCTGCTCTGTGCTGCGCAGGTCACCCTGCTCTGTTCTTCCAGCTGCCATGAGTAATTCTGCTCTTTCAGCCCACCTCTGTTATGTCTCCTTGCAAACAACTTAAACATAGTAAGGACTGTAAGACTCTAAGATATCTGAGTGCTTCTAGGCCAATCAGTTAGTTTATTTGTAAACATAAACTGAAATATGCTTCTAATCCCGTTAATAATCTCTGAGCAGCCAGTCAGTGAAGCACTTGGTGGTAATATATGTGTCTGACAGTGTCAGAATTAAACATTTTAATGTATAGCTGTTTAGCAAAATGCAATAAAAGCATAAAGAATTAGAAATCTTTTAAATGTTTTATCTATTTTTCTATCAAATTTAAGTTGTTATGGATTGTATGACGAGATTACAAAGCACTTGTGAACTATCACAGTTAGTTTACAAATGTTTTCTCTACCAGTCTACGCCACTGATTTCAAGATAAATTGTACCTACCGTGTTTTCCTGTAACAGTGCTGCCTCTGCTTCATGGCGATCATATTCTCCAATGTACCATTCATATTTATTCAAATCCTTAATTTTGAGATATCAGAATTAGTATGTAGAAATTAAGCACAGCTGGCAGAATCAAAACTAATTGAAAACTGACGGTATCTAATTGCACTTAAGACACATTAATCACTGTTTATCAAAGGAATTGGAATAAATCTGTACTAAAAATTATTTTAGAAAATCTGTTTCAAATTAGGCATCAATTTGCTATCTGTAGAATCATAAATTTATATTGGACTCTTTCAGGAGTGCTGAAAACATAGAGCTATCAAAACACTTATGTTCATGGAGAAGTATATTCAGTAAACAGCATTTCTTGTGTGTGTGCGTCCTACAGTGATAATCCTGTTTTGTAAGAAACTGCCTCTTTACTAAATGAAATGTTCTTTACCTTTTCAATGGGCTGCACAAGAGATTCCATCTCTCGTTTTACAAGTGAATGTTTGGATTTATTGTCATGTGGTAGGAGCAGTGTAGCAGATGGTGATCTCTTAACTGACAAGTTCTCTATATTTAACACGGACCCTGCAAAAGTAAATACAGAAGTAAATACAAATCATATGGTTTAAGCTTAATTCATAACTTCATTTGACCATGTCACTTTTTACTCAACATATGTTAGAATATATGTTGCCGCTTGGAAATACATTTTTGTCATAGTAACTTTTTAAATGTTAAGCAAACTGTATTTTTATTATTATTATTATTAAATATGTAGGGACATTTGTATGCTGCAAGTGTAACTTTGTTCTACTTTCATGTTTTGAACTCTTGTAGCAGTGTTTGATCAAAGTTTATTACAATTGCTTCTTATCCCACTGTCAAACTAGCATTGCTTCCACCAAGGAGTGGGAGAATCCAGAAGAAATTAAAGGATTCAGAAGTTTTGTTTTCCTGATAAAATTAATGCATCTTGGACCAGGCCTTGTTTTTGAGGGCAGAGCGACTCTGCTTTCTCTGCATATTCCTGCCCCCTCCTTACTGCTGTTATTACAGTGAAAACTGTCCTCCCAAAGCAAAAGTGGTGGGCGCTGTGTCTGCTCAACGAGGCCGGCGTAAGGGCCGAAGTCAGCTTGATGTGTCCCGGGCCTGCCGCGCTGAGCTGGGCCTGGCACGCTGAGCTGGACCTGCTGCGCAGCTGCAGCCTGAGCAAGAGCCAGCCTAGTTCTAGTCATGCCTCTGAAATGCAGTTTGCATGATACGGGAAAACTGGCTGCTTGAGGAAGAAGAAAAAAAAACATAGCCTGGGATAGAACAGATGGGGTTTTTGTATATTCAGGGCAGTGCTGTGGGGGGAACTGATGGAGCGAATGAGCGCGTGCGTGACTGTGATTATCAGCCCTCCCCATCTTTGTTGCTGGTGACTGTGACAAGAGACAGCGGTGTCTGCTGACACTGTATTTCATTATGTTTTATCTCTGGTTCGTGTTCTATCAGTTTATTGCTTTTCTGCCTATACACAATGATATAACAGAATATCAGAGGAATTCAGCTAGAAAGATGGTACTTTTTACAGAGGAATAATCTCCATTCTGTTCTATTGTTTCAGGGCTGTGTGGGCCGTGCCTTGTTTTCCAACAGCATTACGTTTATTGCAAGGCAGGGAGCACTGCCCACTGATGGCAGAAACGCAGCTGTCTTCCGCGGGCGATCGATCAGCTCACAAATGAACTAGGAGCCGCTCATCTGAAAGGTCTGGAATTGGCCTCTGCCCTTTGTCTGGAATCAATTTGAGCTGTCAAAACGTAGACATGTCGCCATATCCAGTCTGCAGCTACATTCGATTTATTAGATACTGTAGTTCTGTCAGTTGTGTCCATATTTCATTTTTGGTGGCTATTTACAGGTACTGTATTATTAAAGGAGAATCTGTAGCTATAGAACTGTATTTGTTTCTTTGTGTCTACTTCTGTATACATTCAGGAGCAAATTTTCTGCTTTGTCTTGAACTGTGGGACAAGTGTAAAATTCTCTAACACTGCTTCACAAGAAAACGAAAAAGAATATTCTAAATTGTTGCACAAGAAAAGCATAAACAATACAAGCTAAAAATACCACACTAAGACATGTGCGGAAGTTATTTACATTAAATATGATGTATTTATTTAACAAAATTGAGATTTCTCCTCAAAGTTTTATTTTAATCCAAACATGGACCTTTCTTTTTCCTACTGTACCTAATTCTCATTCTGAAGAAAATTAGGTAACTGAAAGTGCTCTTTTGGGTTTCTAACTAGAAACTCGAGTTTCTAGTTAGCTACTGACTAGAAAGACCTGGAGTTCCTGGCATGAATTCAGCAGAGCACCACGAGGGAGGAGTGATGGGCTGGCTGGGTGAGCAGCTGGTGCAGCAGAGGAGCTGGAGGGAGCCCGAACTCTGTACAGCCCTATGGAAGAGCCGAGAGCTCTCACCGCTGTCTACAGCTGCCCATGGGAAGAAAATCTGCATCCAGACTCTCCAGAGGTGCAAAAGATGAAAAGTAATGGGCTCAAGTTGTAAAACAGGCAAATTCTGAGTAGGGTTTTTTTCTGTTAATTGTTTTTGAGGATGTTTTACCACCACTACCTGTGAGGGGGGTAAAAATATTGGAAGAATTTGCCTGGGAACCTTGATCCATCCTTGGAAATGTGCAAAAATTCACTGGACAAATTATCATTTTAGTAATAAGTAACTCACTTAAAAGCAGATGTTTAAGCTTATTTAGGCATGCAAAATGTCTAATGGGATTTTCAGAATACCTGGTTTCAGAAAACCTGAATGAGTTTTGTAGTGTAGCTGGACTTATTTTTTTGCTTAGTTTGCCAAGTGTTGTGGTTTATTACACAGTTTTGAAAGGACATTGCAAGGCAGCAGGTGGGAAGGCTGGTTGCTTGTTCCATCCATGTTGTTTCACAAGGACAAGGAACTTACAGCGGAAAAGGGAGATTTCTCTGTCCTAGAGAGCCTGGGCATGAGTAAAGAAGAGTGATGGTAGGAATGATGAAAAGTTCCTAAAGTGCAGATTGAGGTAAAGTACCTAGGGAAAAAAAAAAAAAAAAAAAAAAGCAATTGTGCACAGGAGGGCGGACTGAGAGACTCCCAAGAGCAAGAGCAAACAAAGATGAGCTTTGTGGATTGTGCAAAGAAGGATTTTTAGTAACTGTCCACAGGAGAGAGTGTGGAGCTACGCCCTCAGCATGAGGAAGGGGCTGATAAGCAGAAGTGGCTCAGTGCAGGGCCCCTACCAGTCACAGAGCTGCAGCACTTGTCTTAGGAAATGAAGCCGAGTGAGATGATTTAATTTTAGCCTAGAAATGACTGAAATTAAGGTTAATTCCAATTAATTTGAATACATAGGGTACGTTCTTCCTTTGCCTTATTTGCTTTGAGAATAAATGCACATTATGCAACTTACAGATTTTGTATTTTTTGGTGCAGAAATGCATTTGCAGAGGCAGTTAAGGGAAAATAGGAAAGTGTAGCAAGTGTAGTCAAGGATAGGATGAAATTACCATCAAGGATAGTTCTTATAGCTCTTGAGTCTCGCAAGGCATGAATTCCTTATTTTTTTCTCTTTAAGATGTAGGTATGACAGCAAAAATGTACTTGTTTGTTGATCCTTTTGCAAAGTGAAAAAAAGAAATGAAAGTCATGTTGCAAAATCATTCATTTATAAATGTGTCTGCTTGTGAAGAAGGAGAAATGTTTTCATAGTAGCTTTTCTCCTAAGTATCTGTTTATGCAAAAAGAAATGATACATAGTAGAATGAGAGAGATTTTCTTTTGCTTACCCAGCTTTTGTCATCGAGTATGGTAATAAGGGATTTTTTTCTTTTCAAAAGCCTGTAAACAGATGGTGTCTTTTACCATCTCTCTTGGATTTATGGAAATGCTTTTTAAAGTATTTTTAAATATAGTGAATAAGTAGGGACCAAAGCCAAATAGGAATTTGGGGTTAAGGTAAAAAAAAAACAGGCTATGTTTTTCTAGAAGAGATTAGATAAAGGAGTGGGTGGTGATAGATGATAAAATGACAGCAAAAAGCTAACACAATTTAAAAGTGTTTGCATAAACATCATCATCTGTATTAGGCAGACTGGGATCTCCATGCATGGCTAAATTACGCCTTTATGTTGCATTTAGTTCTGGGAATCTCTGAAAGATGGAAGGAAAAGGACCTGTGATGTTGCCATGGTTACTGGGCAAGCCTGGTTTTGGCAGGGCACCGCGAAGGATCATGTTGGCTTCCAGGACCCTCCCTCAGGAAAAGCCACGCACTCCAGCAAATGCAGGCTGTGCTATTTCCAGCCATAATAAACTACAGACCTGTCTGAATATGGAACCTACAAATTCTTCCCTCTAGATACCTGCAGTTTCTTTGCAGAAAACCCCAATTTATTCCTTTACTGAGAGGCATTAAAGCAATAGTAGAGCCTATCTAACATCTCGAGCTTCTGTAACTTCTGCATAGGCTGGCTAATTCTATCTCTGCCTGGAAAAGCAGGCTGTTCTGCTCACAGCATGCTCCTTCTCTGTATTTCTTTGTATTCCTAAACAGTTTTCCAGCACCTCCTCTCCCTGGTGTGCTTCCTTGGCTTGCCCAAATCTGCTTAGTTTTCCCAGTATGGTGTTCTTTAATGTTTTAATATTGATTCTAGGCTAGTCATAGGGAGAATGAATCTTTCTTAGATTGAAACAGTCAGAGGTGTTTAGCTAGGCACATAACTTCTGCTGTTGTTTCTTCATGACTGTTATCTGTGTCATGTTATGCCTTCATCTGGTTTGTCTCTTTAACAATCCCTCTGCATGGCTCCATGCATTGAAAATGCCCAGTGCAGATACACACCCACAAAAACGTAGATTCATTCTTTATGTCACAGCTTTGCACATGTAACTAGCACCCATCCATTCCTGCTTTAGCTTTCAAAGCAATCTGTGGTTCTTACCTGAGCTGCAAACATCCTTAGAACTCCGTGTGCTTGGAAGACTAGGAGAGAGCAATGAATGAAAGTCATGTCAGAAAATATTTCTGATCATGGGCAGCACATACGTTCTCTAGAGTATCATTTCATCCTTCATCAAATTGCAGCTTCAAGCCTTCTGCATTCCAGGTGGTGGTTTGGTATTTTATAGCTTTTGACAGAATTCTATTAATTTGCCTGGCCACTTCTTGATATTATCTAAAGTTCTGCTGTCTACAAGAGTTTCACATTTTGTCTGTTTTGAACATATCCTCTACTAATTTCAGCTGATGTTACCAGTCTTTCTATAGAAAGAGATATTTTCTAGATCTCTGTGGAGTACTCAACTGATTGTACTGAAAAATATCAGCTAGAATTCATTAGTGCAAGTGCACTGCTACCATGCAAGAAACAAGTCGCAACTACTACTAAATTTAGTATAGGCAATAATTTTATCTCCAAGAAACTCCAGCATTATAAATAATGTTAGGTTCTGTTTTCTCAGATGTATTTGTCTAGATAAGATATTAAACCATTTCAAGTTATCCTGTATTGTCTTTCACTTTTCATTAACTGCTTAAGAGGTGTGGGAGATTTACATTCAAAAAATACCTTTAAAAAGATAGTTTGCGTAGGTTAGAAAAGCAGACAATTAGGAGAAGCTCGCAGCCTTCTACAGGAGAACAACTGCCCTTCAGAAGGCCTCCTATGTTTTCTTTATGTATCAGTGTGTATATATATGTATATGTATGTGGGAGGGGAAATGCTGAGATTGGGGATGATGCATCTTCTTTATATAATGTATTTAACATACACTAACATTTAACATTTCTTCTCATAGAAATTGAGTGAAAAATGCAGTATGCTAGTCTATTATTAAAGATAATTCTGATTTCTTGAAGGCAATACCTAAAGACAGTTATTCTCATGTGTCAGGGTAAATCATAATATGTCACCTTGTGGTATCAGAGTGGGATATCATCTTGCTTTTATTGCATAGTGAAGTACAGTTTTCTAGGTGCAGAATGTTTAGTATTTAACGCATCCAGCACATACTCGTGCCATGTTTATATTCCTACCTGTCTTCAGAATGATATGTTGGTGTGGAATTCTCTGTTTGGAAACTTAATTCAGGTTGTTTCCCTGATTCTCTCACTGTTCATGATTAAAAAAAAAAAAAAAAAAAAAAAGAAAAAAAAGAAAAAATATACATTAGTTCCTCTCGTGCAACTTTGACAGTATATAATAACAAGCATGACAAATCTAAATTCTTAAATCTAAATCTTAAATCTAAACAGGAAGCAGTTCAGTAGTAAAAGCTAAAAGATTATAATCAGTCTCATTTTAAAATTTAAACTAATGATTTCAATGGGAAACATTCTAGTGACACAGAGTATTACAAATTTTGTTGATGGCAAATATGGATTAGCATATAGGTAAATGATGCAGAATGTTTTACTGGATTCATAAATCCTTTTTGTAGGGAGACAGGTAGTGAATGTCTTAATGAGGCTGATACTATTTCTGGTTAAATGTCAGGCATCTGCACCTTATGCCTCAAAAGGAACTCCCAGAGGAAACTATGAATTTACTGATAAAAATTATTTTTCCAGAATCTATAAACACAGAGTGAGTGGGTCAAGCCAGTTCTTAAAAGCTGAAGAAGTCAGTAGGTCTGAAATACTGACATTTTTCAAATATGTTCATTAAAAACTTATTTTGGCCCATTTGTGTCTTTAAAGACCTAAAATTTTTAAAAGTATTTATTTCAAAATTCCCATCTTCAAATTGCTGGAGAGATGCAAGAGGGACAGAAGAGAGATGAGCTCCGTGCAGACGGAATTAATCCACAGGCTTCACTCTTCAGGATATTCTCCCTTCAGTTTCTTCAGTTTCCAACAGTCATGCTTTCACCAGGACTAAGGATTTTGATTTGCTCAGAACAAATGTGATGCTCTGGTTGCTTAAATAGGAGCAGCTAAGGCCACATTAAATTCCTTTCACCAGTGTGTCTTCCATAAGTGCTGAGAAGAGTCTAACTGTCTCCCTTCTCAGCAGATGTATGCTTACGGGGGGGTGCACTTATTAGGGGATGTTTCTTACTAGTCTGAATAGAGGGCCAGACTGTGTGGTGCTGTATAGCAGCACACATGTCAGATTCCCATACTGACTGCTTCAGCTGGTATGTTCTTACATGAAGGAAAGACAGCAAATTCATATTGTATTGTTATGTACTAACCTTGTCCTCCTCTAGGTGCCTGTATAAAATGACAAAATAGATGACAAATACATACAGTTTTTGATCACTAACTTGAATTTACAGCAACAGACTTAAACATCTTTTGATTGTTATAATAATTTACAGACTGTGATTCCTAAATGCCGTAATCTCTTTATCAGAAGCTAATGCAGAATTCTGATCTCAATGCACTGACAAGAAGGTGACTTGAATTTTTAGAAGCATAGCTGAACATATAGTTTGTTCTGGATTATCATCTAGTTGGGTCTGGCAAGCCTTCAACACCACAAATTTTGCAGCCTCCCTGGACAACCTGTTCCAATGCACTGATTTTTTTTTCCCCCTCTATCTAGTTGAAATGTCCCCAGTTTCAATTTCTGATCAATGTTTTCTGCTTCCACGGTCTTGGCAATCTTTAACTAAGTACTGGAAGGCTGTTCTTAGGTCCAGCTTCCCCAGATTCACTATATGGGGCAGGTTTTCCAGTCCCTTGCAGACCCCCTCTGGTCTGTCTACACCAGCCTCATATAATATTCCAGATGATATATAATGAGTAAAGGGGAATAACTGATTGATTGATCCCTTAGCTCTGCTTCTGTTGATGTAGCTCTGTACGCTGTTAGCCTGCTAGTTACCAGGCCACACTGATGGTTTATACCTAGCCGACTGTCCCCAGGTCCTTTTCAACATAGCTGCTGCCATCAGTGTTGCAGGGGGTTAGTCCATCCCCAGTGCCGGGTTTTTCATCTGTGCTTGTTGTATTTTATGAGTTTTCTTTTCTCCCTTTCCGTTTCCACAGGGCCTGTCTGGATCCCTGTGATTTGCTCTCCAGGTCTCAAGCAGACTGACCCACAGTTTGGTATCTGCAAATGTGACTAGGTCACATTCCTTCAGGTCACACTGAAACTATGGAGCTATGTGAATGTGAAGGGATTCAAATTAAATACTCTTTTTCATGTTATGAGATGTACTATATTTCTCCTTAAAATTTCTGCCAAGATATGAGCTTATTATGAACTGCAATATTAGGGCAGCTGTACAGTGCCAAGTTAGAAACATTAATTACAGATGTAAGATATTTCTTGTTCTAGAGGGTGTTTTCATATGTGGTTTCTGTAATTAGACAGCATCCAGGACAAGACAAAGCTTTTTTTTTTGTATACCAAGTTAAAACATTATCTTCCTTGCCAGTATCTATTTTTTTTTAGCATTAAATTGTAAAAATCTTGCAAAATAAACATTTTCTAACTATGGGAAGAGTAAGAGTTCTACTCAGAACTGTGAAGAACAAAAATTCAAAGGCTCTAACTGAAATTACAGCTAGATCAGTATATGGATTTATTACACAGTTTTGAGATAGGAAGAAGCTGGATTTTATAACAGTGTAGACATTGTTTTCTTTCATCTGTTTTCTTGTAATTAAATTAATAATACTATAGAAATATAATTGTGTAATAAAATGCTAAGAAATGCAAAATGCTATAAATTATACCTATTTCTGAATTTTGCAATCATCCTTCAACAAGCAGCATAACTGCAGAGAATATATCTCTTAATATGTTTTACAGATTGGTTTCCTTAGAAAGCCACTTAAGGAGCTATTGCTTGTCATTAATTTCTATTAAGTTTCGGCTAAACCCATTTCCTCTGCTTTACTTCATTGGTCTGAGTAGAAGGTGAATGCATTTGAGAAACTTTTTTTTTTTCTTTTTTTCTTTTTTTTTTTACAGAAAGTGAGATCTTTCTTCTAAAAAGAAAAAACCAGAACCAAGCCACTTGCTCAGAGCCATCTTGTGTTATGTTTTATGGAGGACTATAGGGTCTGGAGCTGCTGCAGAGCGGCTGGGCCTCCCAGAGGCAGCTGTGGGAGAAGCAGCCCCGAGGAGCAGCAGTCGCCTTGTAGGTGCAGGAGCGAGGGAAGAGCTTTTGTAGCCTCTGTCTCTGTCAGACATGGGACCTCAGAGCTGCTGCTTCAACTGTACTGAAGTTGAAAAGCTCAGTTGTGGGCGGGTAACAGATACAGTTAATTCTGCACATGAAATCTGTCAGTTTTTATTCACTAAAAAGGGCCACCTTTTGTTTGAGGTACCTTGTATTTACATTAGCGTCATACTTTTAAGCTCTACTGGTCCTATCATTTCACTTTTGTGATTTTCAAAATATATCTGGAATTGAGATATGTTTTTATTAGATACTTGGAAAGGAAGCTTTTCACCATGTGTATGTTCTTATTCCTGTAAGCAACTTCAGGAACTAATCTGTCATTCAGAGTAGTGGTTTTGTAAATACTGCATGCATTAAAGATATATTTCTGCCCAAATGTAATATGATCATTATGATTATTATAATATTTTTACCTTATAGGCCAAGTAATGCACTGAAAAACCATTACATTAGAGGCTATGCCATTATATATTTTATGCATACTTTTTGTGATATTAAGTATATTAAATAGAAAGATTTTTACTTACTTCATTGCCTTCCTTAACAGATAGATGTCTAGAAAAGAAAGTTATATGCAAAACATCTTTTTATTGTAAATTGAAAAAAAACTTAATACTTCAATACTTTTATTACATTAACACTGCAATTTTAAGAGCCCTTGGCAAAAGGAGGATTTTATTAATAGTATATAAATTCAGAAGGGAGTTTTTTTTACATAATTATTTGAAGGAAAAGGTTATGGATTTCATAAAAAGGAACAGCATCCACTACATTAATTACAGAAAATGAGAAAAGTGCTTATTAAGGATTTATTCTATACAGAGGGAAGAGGAGACATGTGTGATCATGAGATCTCTTCAATACTTTCATCTCATGCTGAAAAGTCTGATCACAAACTTAGTATCAGCTATAAATGTATTTAAGTTCCCTGAAGAGTTTCAAAAATGAGATTTGCAGTGCTGGAATGGAAAGCAGCCCGGAAGAAAGGAGATGCCGAAGGAGAACTCAAAATAATCACCTGAAAATATATTTTTTTAAAAAGTCTGTTCTCTGAGAGCTGGAACTACTTCCTAGCCCATTCCCAAGGATTTATACAAGAGAGACAGAATTTAGCCTATTCTGTCATTAAAGTAAACCTCTCACTCCTGCAAGCTGGCATTCAATCGGTTTAGTTTTGGTGGTTGTGCCACCTGAGCATCAGACTAGTCACCTATCACAAGAAAGGTACCAGGACCTTGACTCTTGCATAAAATCTGACAGACCAATTCAGGTCAACAATAGGAAATGTTTCCATACCTTTTGTCACAGGAAAAACTTAGTGTGGCTTTGACATGTGATCATTGTGTTTGACAGCTTAAAGATGTAATTTTGAAAAGTGAGTTTTAGCAGCTTGAATCTGACTATATAAGAGGTTAAGACCAAGTTTTAGAGGTTATTTAAGAATATAAGAGGTGCATAGGCATATAGTAATTTCTTCAAAGGCTCTAGAATCCCGTCTCTTTTTTAGATTACCACCTGGATTTAAAAAAAAGAAAAAAAGTGAGAACTTTATTAAAACAGTCACAGTCAGAAATCAAAAGGAAGGCACAGAAAACCCTGAGACCTATTTTTCAAAACCTGTTCTGTATAAAGGAGTCTTGTTCATGCTCTTCCATTCGAAAGGTAAGCATGGAGAGAGCATCTAATGGTTAAGAGGCAAGAAAATTTCAAATGATCTGTTAGAGTTCCTGCAAGTGTAAGAGGAAGGACAGGAATTGTCTGGCATTTGGATGACTGTCTTTGTGGTAGCTTGTGCAATTATTTGGCTTCTTCTCTAAGGTCATTATTAGATGTGAGAAAGTCTACATTCAAGATACTGGGTGTATGATAAAGCTAAGAGATAATAATGGTGGCTTGCAGCACTCAATTCTACCATGAAGGGCTTTGCCATTGATATTCCCTGAACACCACAAGCCTGCATCTCGCTGAAGCTTCTGAGATACTTTCTGTGATCCTACACAGGCCTATTTTTTTACAAGGCTAGAGAATGTAAAAATAATAGTGTTTAATTTCCTAAGACTTCCAAATCTTTTTGGCAAGTGGATCTTGCAGTCCTAAATCATGTCTGTAGTTGGATGACTTTGCTTACAGTCTCTCTGTAATGGCTGTACTGCCATACAGTCCTAGACCTGGACTGAAGACCGATGACAGATACTTCAAGTGAAATGCCTGTTTAGGCTTGTGTGCGAAATCTGTGAAGCGTCTTATTGCATCATGTGTGGTCTTAGTCTCTACCACTCCTCTCTTACTCATGTTATTTAAAAAAATTACTTTTTCTTTTTAGAATATTTTAGTATCTATAACTACAACATGAATTCAATTTTGTAATGATGATTTTTGCTGCCTTGTTTTACCTCCAGAATACAAAATGTCATATATTACGTATTTTGGCTTTATAATAGGACATTTCAAATCCAGTTCTTTGCTCTCTGATGACTACTAGCAAACACAGTTCATAATAGTTCTGAGTTTTTAATTTCTATGCCGCCCTACCAAGGGGAAGGATGTAGCAACTGCATGACTGAAGAATCGGTCATGGGATTTGGAACTTTCAGCTATAAGTCAGGTCACGCATCTGAATATGAAACTACTTCACATTAATAAAATGTCTTAATATCCAACAGCTTTTGGAACATAATCTATGGAAGAATTTAAGCACCATTCAGAAAAAATAAAGATCATACTTGCAGCAGTCTCCCTAAATATATACTTAACTTTAAACAGAAAATTATTCATTGATTTATAATCTTTATTTTTTTTTTCTTCCTGTGGGATTTGGACTGTAGGATTTGCACTGCAGTGATCTTTCATAAGTGAAAAATAATCCCTCTTGACTAACTGAAATTGGAAGAAATAATAAAAGGCGAGACATAATAGACACAGATCAGCGTTCCTGAACTTCTGACTGCAATAGTTTGCCATAGGAAAATATTTGAGCTTTACACTCTGTGGCCCCTGGACGTGTATCAGGCCTGAATTTCCAGTATGTGTTTGCTGCCTTCCCTCTCTATGGATGCATACTTTAGTCCCACAGCAGGAGCACCTATGTATTTTGTTAGGTAGCAGCGAGAAGTGTGCATGCATGATCATGTGACTAGATATGTGACAAAAAGCAAGCCTTTTCATAACTTAACATATCCATTTTTGATCATGTGTCTGGACACAAGCGGTTCCTGTGACACAAACATTCGTACACACCCTGATGTGGACTGAACACATGTGTGTCACAGAATCACAGAAAGGTTGAGGTTGGAAGGGACCTCTAGAGCTCATCTAGTCCAACCCCGACATGGCACAGGGCGGCATCCAGGCAGGTTTGAAGACCTCCAGAGAAGGAGACTCCACAGCCTCCCTGGGCAGCCTGTGCCAGGGCTCTGTCACTCTCAGAGGAAAGAAGTTCTTTCTCATATGGAGATAGAATTTTCTGTGTTTCAACTTATACCCATAGCCCCTTGTCCTGTCACTGGCCACCACTGAGAAGAGTTTGGCCCCTTCCTATCTATATTCACCCTTCAGGTATTTATACATATTAATCAGATCCCCTCTCAACCTTCTCTTCACCAGGCTAAACTCACTCACCCAGCTCACTTAGTCTTTCCTCATAAATGCCATGTCGTATGACAGGAAATGCTGTGAAGTTCTGGTGTAAAGGACAGCAAGAGGATATGTCTCTGTAGACATATCCTGCATTCTGTAACGTGCCTTCCACGTGCATCCAGTGTGGAGGGAGGGAGCATGTAAAGAAAGGGCAAAGAAGTGACTCATGATCTGGATCAATTAGTCTCATGAGCTGAAGCAAGATTTTTGGCTACAGATTAGTCATCTCTGTTCCTGTACTTGGGATATGGACTGGGTTTTTTTTTTTTTATGTTTCTGGAATGTTCAATGTGTTTTTCAGGCATTTGGTTCACCAACTGTGCTAAGCAACTGCAATTGTTTTTACTCAAAAGTGGTTGCAAAACTTCTAAATGTTGGTGAGAAAAAGTAGGACAAAACTTACACAACATGTTCATAAAAATTCCACCTACTTTTCCAGTCCTTCACTTTACTATTATTCTGGCAGTTATTTCTTTATAAAGTTAAGTGTCAGATTACGGTAAATACCACTACTCTTGATTATTAGCAGCTGTCTAAAGAATCAACGTTTTTATTCTTCAGAGCAGGGATGAGATTGAGGCAAAGTCACATGGTTTTACCAAAAGAGTGTTTTGATTCTCAGGAAATTAGTGTAAAGAAACTCCAGTGTTTGAGATAGAACATCATATTACCTGGTGCGTTTTGCTGATACTGGAAAAGTATGAGCTTGGCTGAACTCCTTCCTTGTGTGAGAGGGCTGGCTGCTTATCTTCGGTTCTGGAGGAAGTGGCTGATATTGCTTTGGCAATGTCTTTAGAGGCCTAAAAAAGTAAAAGAAGAAGTAAAAGAAAGGTCATTACCTTTGCTCAGGCTGAGGATATTATTCAAATCTTTCAAAATTAGTAACAATTCTAGATAATACTCTACAGTTCCAGACATTACAGTACTATGTTATGTGCCACATAACACTGTTTTCATACACTTTAAAGTTATGTATCAAAGATATCTCCCCAGTGTCAGTATGTGTGGGTGGATATAGCTGTGTATGAGGCCCAGCTAGGGAATGCACTGCAATTCAGACACACCTAGGAAAAGATATTCTTTATACCAGAAAACTCACAACTTAGAGGTACCCAGCATTTTGTGGGAGCTGTGGGCTCACCCTGCCCATCTTGTGATATCAGCCAGGCATGGACCATATCTAAAGTAGAAATTGTGTAGCTCCTTGTAGAATGGAGATCTGCTTGAATGAATATATAAACTAGCAGCTATAAAATGAATAAGTATATTGTCACTGGCGCTGCCAGTATGCACAGCCAACAGCAATGAGCTCCTTGCAGCGGAGCCTTGGGGTTTGGTGTGGTATAGACCAAAATAAGGTGAGTCAGTTAAAATCTATTACAGCTACCTTAATACATATAGAACAAATAGTGAAACACTGCAGAAAATTAAGAAAGTTCATATTTATGTACTTTTACAATTTTGAATACAGCTTCAATTTTCAATCAAAAATGTTAATACAGCTTTAGCTGTATCTTCTTTTACTGTTTTATTTCATATTTTAACTTAAAGAGTAATCTGAATGTGTCCGTAATGGTAATCATTTTTTAGAACTGTTTACATTTCATACACAGTAGCATTAAGAAATAAGCCTGGTAGTTATGGACTATTTTCTGAAAGTAAGTCTTAATTGTAGCAGTTATTGCTTGCGGTAGAATAGATCAAGAAGTGATTATTTTTTTTCTGAGCATATCACAGAAATATATATGCCTAGATTGGGACCTGGGAGTCTTGGTTGACACCAAGTTAACCATGAGTGAGCAGTGTGCCCTCATGGCCAAGAAGGCCAATGGGATCCTGGCCTGCATCAGGAGGAGTGTTGCCAGCAGGTCAAGGGAGGTGATTCTGCCCCTCTACTCAGCTCTGGTGAGGCCGCACCTGGAGTACTGTGTGCAGTTCTGGGCACCCCAGTATAGGAGGGACGTGGAGCTTCTGGAGAGGGTCCAGAGAAGGGCAACCAGGATGATTAAGGGAATGGAACATCTCTCGTATGAAGAGAGGCTGAGTGAGCTGGGCCTGTTTTCTCTGGAGAAGAGACGGCTCAGAGGGGATATGATTAATATGTATAAGTTCAGGAAGGGAGAATGCAGGGAGGAAGGGGACAGGCTGTTCTCACTGGTGGCCAGCGATAGGACGAGGGGTAATGGCCACAAACTGAAGCATAAGAAGTTCCGTCTCCAGGTGAGGAGCAACTTCTTTACTGTGAGGGTAACAGAGCAGTGGAACAGGCTGCCCAGGGAGGTTGTGGAGTCTCCTACTCTGGAGGTCTTCAAAACCCACCTGGATGCCACCCTGTGCCACATGCTCTAGGTGTGCCTGCTTGAGCAGGAAGGTTGGACTAGATGATCTGTAGAGGTCCCTTCCAACCTTAAATATTCTGTGATTCTGTGATTCTGTGATATTCATGGAATAGAGCTTGGCCCACTTTCTGTTTGGATAAGTAGCTAAATTCTAATCGATTTTTATGATCATGATTTAGGTTTGTGGCAAAAAAAAAAAAAAGAAAAAAAGGCAAATAAGTTTTCAGGGGCAATGAAAAAGGTACTATTAAGCTGAACAGAATCTCAGACATAACACAAATCAGAAAATGTAACTACTAATTTAAGACTACATTGAATCATATTCAAGGATTCTAGGCATTTTACTTGTTCTTACTTTCAGCCAAGTTCATTGCAACTATGTAGGCCTGAGATTTTGTTATGAAGCTCTGTTATGAAGCTTTTGTTGTGAACTTATGGCTCATCATTTTGTTGTTCTCCCCACTTGCATTTCAGAAGCTAGAAAAGTCCAAACAGAAGCAGGTGGAAAAAAAGATGTCTGCTCATTTTCAGTCATCTTGTTAACATGAGCGATGCAGATATGGGTGAGACTTCATTGAAATTCCTTGAGCATATTTTTCAGGAAAAGCATGTAAGTTAATTCTTAAGTGATCTTACCGTGGGGGAGGCACAGGATTCTAGATGAGAGAAAACAAAAATATGTGTAAGCTTTTTCATGCTTGTTTTAGTACAAAAGAAGATAAAACTTTACATTAAGCAGACAAATCTGTGTCAACAAGTTTTGACACCTTTTTTATGCTACACATAACAAATGTTTCATATTCCCTTTTAAGTCATTGAGTTTTAGGAGATGACTGCATAAGCCAGGACTGCAAATGAGTAGAATAATGCAGAACTGCAGATAATAGTTCTTATTCTTATAGTTCTTAGTTCTTATTGTTGGGGAGCAGAAGTTGGTGTTAGCAGAAGTGGAGCATGTGTTTAAAGTTCAAATACCCCTATATTCAATGGCATATTCAATGGCATATTGCATATGGCATATGGCATATGGCATATGGCATATTCAATGGCAAGTTCAAATACCCATATATTCAAATGGTCTACAAAAAAAAAAAAAAAGAGAGATTCTGCTTACCTGGCATTCACTTATGTTCATTCTTTGTCCTAAAGATAAGTAGTAATGTTAATAGTGCACTCTTTATATAATTAACACATAAAGATATGATTTTATTTTGGTATTTATTATCAGTAGGCCTCATGGATGGGAGTGTCTGTAATAAATCTGTGAGGTGATAACTCACTCCACTGTAAGGATGTCAGTGAGAAGGGCCTCTCTATCCAACCCAGTGCTGATTTGTACCTCTGCAGTCTACCCCCATCCTCCTGCACACATCCTGCTCCAGCTGCAGAACCTTTTACTCCAGGGAACTGATGGTCACATCACTGGCCCCACAGCATTCACCTAACACATCTGTATTTGTGTATTCTTTTCCTGTTAATTCATGAGAATCAGGGTACCTTGTAATTTCTGTGGACCTAGATGCAAGGCCTGGAAATTCCTGACTCAGTGAAGCGTTGTTATTTGTGTGAATGAAGTCAAACCACAGCCTGAACCACAGACAGAGGTCACTGAAGCCAGAAACTGTATTTTCTTGTTAGCTGTTCTGCACATAACGCCAACAGGCTCTGAAAGGAGCTTAATGCAAGGGGAGGGCGTTCTGTTCTTTCTGTATGTTAGCCTATTTGGGGAATGGCTTCACAGATGGATGCAGATGCAGCTCATACCTCATTCTGAAACATTTGGGCTTCTCTCCTTATAAAACATAAGACTAAGTATAGTCTGATAATTATGGTGATCATAGAAATGTTGCGAAACACATAGCCAAGCAATTCTTTTTAACATCGCTAACAAACCTTCGTACAAGGGCTAGTTAGGTAAAGATTAAGCAGGAAAAACAAGTATTTTTGGATAATTCAGCTGAAAATACAAAATAAAGCAATTCTTAAAAAAAACAATACTTGGTGGAACAGAGTGAACTTTGATTCACCTCTGGCTTCTAGAACAGTTTTAACAGTGATATTTGTTCAGATTTTAAAATGTAAAGGTAGCTCGGGGATCTTATATGGTCGTTCATCAAGTTTTCTGGGACTCATTCTGGTTGGCTAATTAATTTGTGTAGAAATCTATTAAAATCTTATAATTAATTAAAAAATCTGTTTTTTCATAAAAATTTACTACAGCATGGTGAATTACTTAAATGAACATAGGACATCTTAAAAATTAAAAAAGTTACTTTAGTTTGAATTAGTTTTTATTTTTATTTTATCAAAATATTTGATATTTCTAAATACATCCTTGTTAATGTAAAAAGAGATACAATAGATCTTCAATTCTGCTTCAAGTAAGCCATAAAAGATTCTCCTGAATTAAAGTAATTGTACATTAAATATTTAACAGTTCTAGAAAAAAATGATAAAAAAAAATCTGTTCTGTTTATGCCATCATGTGGCAAAACCACGGAACAGCAGTGCACAGAAGAAGAAATGTGAAGATAAATTTGATAACAACTTAGTTGTTAACTAAAAAGAGATTCTTGTATAAGCATAAAGCATTGAAATATATATAAGATACAGACTCAAACATGCAGCATTTAATTTGCCTGGCTTCACTATCTTTTCCTTTGTCTTTGTAATTTCATTACAAATCCTGTAGAAGTAGATAAACATGTAAATCCAATCTGCGAAACAAATCATTATGGGATTTGAGATTATATCTAAACAGGCTGCCAGTGGGAGCATCCCTACCGATTTCTGTTGATCTTGAAGCTGGCTTACTAAGAATTTATCTTAATTCAGCTTTTGTGCAAAATATATCAATATACTCTCACAGGATTCAGTCTCACCTTTAATTTTTGCAGACTTTATTTATATACTGCTTACTTGCTCATAATGTGTAGGAATATTTTTGACTGTATGCTTTGTATTACAGCATGAGCTAGAGGGAGAAAAATAACTTCTACTTTGTATTGAATTCTTTGCATTATATTTCTACCTCTTCAAATATAATATTGTTGTCTGAACATAGAAAGTGATCATATTTTCCTGATTTGGGAATTTCATTCTTTTTGGCCATGTTTATATATATGGAGACATTTGAAACTGATAAGAGAAAAATTCATTTCAAGATGAATCAGATAGTCCTTTAGTGGCAGATTTCACGAGGCATTGCTACCTCTAAGGTATATTAAATGCATTTAAAAAGTATATAGAAATGCATTTTTAAAATAAATTTATAATTGAGTAAAAATATAAAGATTTGTAGATGGACATTTTATTAAATACTTTAAGAATTAGTCATCTGTCTAGGATTTCACCACGAAAAATATAGAACAAACAAAAATGATGTGTTTGTGCCTCAGAATTACGGAATTTTAAAACAAATTTGCAATAAATGGCCAAGCAGTGGAGAAATGAAAGTATGCCAGGCGATAAAAGAGATTTTGCACATCCTTGGAGAATAATGTCAGCATTAGTATAGGTGTAAATTGTTAATAGCTATCACTCTAGATGATAATACTATTAAAATGGCTATCAGATTACGTTGTAGAATATATTTCCTAGTTGAAGAAATCATAAAAAGGCCAAACCATCTGACTTTCAGATAGAATGTTTTATTCCCTTGGGAACAGGGGACTCATGAGATAAAATGCAAATCTAAGTAATATCTTCAGTCAGGGCATTAGTATTCTAAATTAATATGTTTGAAAGTGGCCACTGTTATAAAAACTACACCTTCTTCTTCATTTGTATTGTCTGCTTATATATGTACAAAAGTAAATAGGAAGCAACATTTTCTATATCAGGTTTTTGAAACAGTTATTTTATTATACCTTTAGCATTTGGCACGTTCCTCCGCTCTAGAACAGTCACGTTTTTCTGTTAATGAAATAAAATATAGACATAATGTGAGTCATTATATATGAGACTACAGCTAACAGCTAATGGGTTGTTTCTGCCTGAGATGCCTCCAAGTGTACATCCAGTCTTAATCTTATGCAGTTAGTGAGAACAGTTAGGCTAGGCTAGGCACTGAGCACAGCTGTAGCATTGATTGTCTTCAATAAATGTAGGTATGATATACTTGTATTCATATATATTTATATAGATATAGATACGGTTGATTTGGTTCCTGTAAGTTATGATATTTGGTATATTTATTGCAGCATTTTTTTCGAAGTGAAACAAGAACATGATGCAACGCTTATGAACTTGTAAAAAATAAATGCTCTTTGGCTAAGATTTTAACTAGGCTGCACTTAAATTTAAGCAGAATCACAGAAAAGAGGATATATATATATATTTTTTTTTTTTGTGAATTGGGTTTTGGAGCTTTACTTACATTCAGATACTGAGGAGGTGACTGAGAGTATGTGTGCTGGTTAGTCATGTAGGAAGTGGTACCTGAAGAATTCACACAACGTCTGTCTGCAAGAGAGGAAGAAAAAACAAACAGTAACTCCGTGATATGTTTTAAAAACATGAGATTTTAATGTTTAAAGTATGTTTTTCAGGTCAGCTGCTGAGATTTTTACAGCATTTTCATTTTCTTACACAACTCCTTCCTTGTTATTTTAATACTGAATACATAAGCATGACCTTGAGAATAAAGTTTTATGCTTAATGTCCTCACTGCGGGTAAGGAAAAGCTTTCATAAGTTGAGGCAGATGTTTGCCTCATCTGTGAATAAATTAGTCAATGTTTTTTACTTGAAACTTTATTCGTGGCAGTGCTGTCTGTGTTCTTGTACATGTTCTATTTTTTTTTCTTTACTCTCTAGTGAGTAAAGAAAATTTCAAATTTTTGAAGTATTTCAAATTTTTACTTTTTTTGTACATTAGCTTTTAAACTTTTAATAAATACACCTATTGCCATCTAAAATAAATGCACATATTATACATTGTGATATACTCACACGGCTATAAATTTACTGACAAAAAGCCATCCATAGAAGCCATCATTAGAAAAATCTTTGCTTGGCTTTGATGTTAACAAGGCCAAATTTTTCACATACATATTGACTCTGTACTTTTAGATATTATTGTTTATGCTTTCTATTCTTTCTTTTCTGATTCTGCCCTCCCTATTTGCCTGGCCGATTTCTGAATTATTTAAGATCTCCCTAAACTAGTTAGAATAGCCTTTCACTGTGATAGCTAAGAGGATATTTCACTTCCCTACATTGTATATTAATTGACTTGCTGTATTTGAATGAAATGTGGCTTAGGCTGGCTTTAGTAAACTGAAGCTTGACTAATGTAGCTTTTCCCTCAGGTTAAGAATGTTTGAGAAATATGCTCAAAATAATTGTTGCTGATACTGAAAGAGTCAACAAATGCCTCTGAAATGAACTACATTTATTCATCTACAAATTTTCATGTGAAGGAAAGTTTTTTATCTCTTCTTTTTTTTTTTTTTTTCAATGCTTTCCATTGTAAAGTCACTTGGCCTAATTAGCAGTTGGCTTTTCTGCATTAGCTGTGAATTTGACCAGTAGTTCCATGAAGATTCCAAGAGGAATGGGATCACAGAATTTCTTCTTATTATTTTAGATAGTACTATAATTTAGAAAAGCCACATGGGAGTATTAAGTTAACATAATCTAATGGAGAAAGAGATAAACTGAACAGGAAGATGCAGATAAGGTTCCTCTCTGGCCTGCCAGTGTTTTATCTATTTTATTTTGGAAAATATCCAGACTGAAAACACCAAATCTAAACTGTCACAATTTGTATCTGAATTTAACTCACTTTTAGCAGACATAAAAAGTTACCTGCATATTCAGATTCTTGCAGGGGTTTGGCAGGAAGAATTCTCAAAGCATGGATAGCCTCCAGGGTGGAGCTACTCACAGTCTCATAATCCCCTTCCTGCTCATGAGATATTTTGGAGGAAGATTTTGGCTCATTGGTCCTCTTTCTTGTCAAATCACTACTCTGGATAGAAGAAAAGTTATGCAAAGATACAAATAAATTTAAGTCCAAGATTACTTTCAGATTTGGAAATAGTTAATAACCAGAACCAGACATTTTTTTGATGGAGATTGAGAGGTTGGAAAGTAGCTGAGCAAGTGTTTTGAGGATCTAAATTGTATGTTTAGATTCATAAAACAGCTATTTGGGAGATGGATTAGGTCTCTCTATGAATCTGGCCTGTCACCGCTCTTGAAAATATAATTCAGCCTATTTTTTTTTTTTCATGAGTATGGACATTTCAAACTATGCCATTCACTATAGTATCTTCTCTGTGGCATTTGTAATACATTGTTTACATTTGCTATTTGCAAGAGTCTTTTATATATATATATATATATATATAAAGATAACCAGCTCATCATGAATATCTTGTTTGAAAATAAAAACATACACTGTTTTTGTAAATTAATCTTTAGAATTTGAATTCTGAGAGTATGCCAGCAAATCTGCAATCTAAATGAGCCAGAGAGCAAGCATATATTGAACAGCAAAACTCACACAGAAATGGTGATGCGACTCCAGATGGTGGTGAATGACTCAAGATGTACTGGATGTGTCTATACCATTATACTGACTTGGTTATGGATGTTTTTCCTGCATAATTCCCGTTTATTATGCTGGAACTTACCTGCTGGCTTCCTTTGGGCAGACACATTTGGTAAGAGCACTGAGTTTAAATTATTAGGATGTGACCCCAAGGATATTCCAGCAATGTTTGTAAGTCGTATTTTGCTACCAGAGACAGTATCGGTCCATCCATCCACTCAATGTCACTCACAGCATATCTGGATCTTCTCTGATTTTTGTTTTATCCTGTTCTTGAGTTCACTAGTAACAGGAAATCAGTATCTTCCCAACGTGTTGTCCTCCATGAGTTAACTAGCTAACTGGCTTTTCAGTTAATGTTCTTTTTTTCTCTTTTAAGTGAGACAAATTAGATCAATTTGTATTATCATCCAAGGACACTAAAACCAATTGATTACCATCCGCTTTATTTCTGTGTGTAATATATATTTAATGCCTATGATTACATTTCTCTGTAGCTTTCTCACTCCTCTACTAAATAGGAACAATTCTTTGAAGATTTTCTGAGTTGTCAGCTCTGCGAAAGATTTCAAACCTCTTACTCTCAGTGTTTCTCTTCCCTAGATTCTCTACAGTTTATCCACATTGTTTTTAAAACATCAAACTTAAAGTACATAGAAAGTTTCAGTGAAATGTTCCCACCCTGAATCTTAACCTCCAGAGGCTACATAGAGTGTAACCTCACTGGACTGTCAGCGTCTTGACAGTACATTTCAGGGTGAGGCTTGCCTTTTTGTAGGCATCATTAAATAAAAATACCATCATATCCTGGACAGGTTGCTGCAGAATAACTGGATTTGCAGGGTATTCTGCTGGATATCTCATTACAGTTTGGTAGTAAACTCTTGTTAGCCAGACTGAGTGTGGATGTATTTTCAGTTTGCAAACACACTGTGCACAACTTTATCTAGACCATAGTTGCTTATATATCTTCTGGGAAATTTCAAAAACATAAAAACTACTTCTTTCCTTCTCTCCATTATGTCAATATTTCTATCAGAAAGAAATTATGTTAGTTTAATCAGTTGTTCTCATATATTTTTTTTCTTAACTAGAGTTATTAAACAAAAAAGCTTTCAAAATTAATTTATTTGGTAGGCTAGCCATGTATCCAGTATACTGTTAGGGTTTGATTTCCTTTAGTAAGGAACTGATTTTCTTCAGTAAGAAAGTGAGGTTACCTTTGTCCTCCTCCATTTTTTTATGAACTCATGATTCTTTGGAGAGTTCCCAAAGATAATCAATGGCTCAGAAATTACTTCAACTACATCCTTAAGTGCTTTAGAATAAATAAACATTCTCTAATTCCTCTTCCTCTGTCCTGGCCTGTGCTCTTACTGCCTTCTAGTTGAGATTAATTGCATATAGCATCTGATCACAATCAGCCTTCCTATGAAACTTGATGCAGCCAAAGCACCGATGACACTATTTGTTCAGCTTCAGTTAGGTAATAGTCCTGCACTCTGTTCTCATGTTTCTCTGATTAGTAATGCATTTTAGATTTTTTTTTCTTATATCTTTTGATAGCTAACTCTCAAAATCAGCTTTCAGATACAAATGAGAAATTGTTGAAAAGTTTACTGCTACTCTTTCAGCTTTCATTAATTGTGAATATACTAAACCTCCGGATTTATGATTTATATACTTGTTCACTTTGAATCCTGTTAATTTCACACTGATTTTGTGGTAAGTGTGTACTTCAGATTTGGCCATAAATGGGTAATTAGCTAGTGTGTGGATCACTTCTCTAATCTTTCTCTCAGCAAAACAAAGAGTTCTTACATATACTTAAAAAATTCTTATGCTGTACTTCATATTAGCAAACAGTGAGATTTAAGTGTTCTGTTAACAGCATTATATACCTGGAATAATATTAACATCTGTGAAATAAAAGTATAATTTTAGGAAAACGGTATGCTACTTACAAAACTGTATGTATTAGCAGGAATATTTCTTCTCTTGTTTTCTGTATAAAATGAAGGAAAAGCAACAACAAATGTCATTCTGCAGAAAATGATACAATAACTAATAGTTTATATACAGAAATAGAAATCGGTGAACTGATTCACTGAGTATTTTGCAGATAAAGAATTGAAACAAAGGAGATGAGGCAAATCTGTTCATGAATTTGTTACCTATACAATGCACAAGGGAGCAGCTACCTGTAACTGGGATTGACGGCCGCTAGCATGCCCAGGCCAGTCCACGGAAGGATGTGTTTGAACTCCTATCTATCTCCTGAGTTTAGCTGTCTAGCTAACAATTGTAAATGCTCACCCATGTGAGATTGGGAATCTTTTCCTGAAAATCCCTCTATGAATAGAAACACATAGTTAGCCTTTAGCAGTAGAGTACAATCTGACTTTCTGCCTTCAGTACTGAACTGGAAGAGGGGTTATGCGGATGTCTATTCGGTTACAGCATAGCATTTGGAGCACTTGCCCTGGAAACAGCACTCATGATTTTGGTTAAAAAATCTCTAAATCTGGGTTTTCTAAAACTAAGGATATTCTAATTACTATAAGCTATTCTAGCTAGTGGCTGCCCATAGCAGTTGTCTCATGGCCTATCTAAGAAAGCATGAGTTAGAGGGCCAAAAATCTGGTGAACAAGACAGTACATTGACTTGGAAGCAGTCCCAAATTCTGCCTTTAATCTCATTTGCACATTTAATCCAGTGATTAAATGTGCAATGTGCAGTGATTCCTTCTGCAGCAAGCGTAAGTGATTTTGGTTGGACTATTTTAACAATTTTTGGTTAGCCTGTCTTTAGCCATCGGTATCTGTGTAGCCATGGATCCAAGCCTTTATCTTGCTGGCTACATAAATAGCTTGATTTCACAACCAGGCCTCTAAGAAGCCTAGCCTATAAGTATGTAATTACAGTGTGCTCTAATTCTTACAGGCAAGGGAGAACTGTGGACAGAAACCCTTCTGTGCTGAGAAAGAAGCTGGAACTTCATGTAAATCTGTTCTACCCTGTGTTAGGATGTGAATGAAGGGCATCACCCCATGACCCTCCCTTTCAGCTGTGTTTTGAAAGAAAGTACTCCTTACTTAAATTTGTCACTACTGTTAAGTTCTCAGGAGCCCAGCAGATGGCATTGAATGTTCATTTATATTGCATATGTAGTACTTTTATTTCTGCTCAGAAGCCATTCAGAAGGGGGAGAATTATTTAAGCAAACTATCTGTCTGATTTAGCTCTCCCTAGCTGTTAAGAACACCTTTCCACAATGAAGAGGGAAGTAGAGTTGAGACTAACCTGCAGGCATTTCCATTATATGAGGTAAATCCTAAATACTTGCTTTGTTCTGGTAAAGCACAGAAACTGCTCCCGTTGTTATAAAGGATGATACTTGGTAGCAAAATGAATATTTCTTTGTTAGCTATGCAATACATTTTGGGCCTTTAGAATTAAAAGTGCTGAGAACCATTTGGGTGGTGGAAGATTGTTGAAGACTCACTTGTCTGAGTCTGATTGTTCAAGACCACTTGAGGAGAGATCATTTCTGCCATTTCCTATCTATATTGCTCTGGACCTTTCTGTTTCCTGACTTCCACTGTGCTGCATTTCACCAGAATTTTAAGATTTACAGCTTTCAGGAATCAGAGTTTCCTCGAGCTATAGAGATTGATCCTATCTTATTTAGTTTTAACATTTAGTTTTGAAATTTCTTATTGCTCTGCTACATCCTCTGTGAAATTAACTGTTGTAGTATATCAGTTATAATAATAATAATAATATTGATACATAAATTGTACATTTTATATGGCATATGTGTGGGCGTGTTTTTTGTTGACAGAAAATACCTGTTGTCAAAGGACAAAAAGAAAGTAATGAATTTTTATTTAAACTAAATAAGCAATAATAAGGTGACAACCTTGCTTGTCTTTTGTAATGACCTAAAAAGATTCTGTAAAAAAGGGCAGGAAAACCTAATGTCACACATCCCTTATGTAAACGAGAAGGTGGTAGCTAAATCTGTTCCCATAGACATGAGTCTAAGAATGTGCTGTGGTTTTTTTAGTCACTATTTGTGGTGTTTCAGACAGTGACAGACAATGATAAAGTATTGTGGGTTATGCTTTAATAAACTTTAATCTACCTGCAGGGTATATCCAAACCTGGTTTTATCATCAGAAGAAGAAAAAGAAAAAGAAAAAGAAAAGGAAAAAGAAAAAGAAAAAATAATAATAACAATAACAATAAGAAGAAGAAGAAGAAGAAGAGGAAGAAGAAGAAAAAAGGCTAGAAATGTGGCAAAGAAGAACTGAAGAACCTGCACTGAAATTTTCAATCTTTTTTTTCCCTTTTTTTCAATTCTTTAGGATCTATTTGGCCCTAAACCACCATCTAAAAAGCCTGTCCTGCTAAGTATATTAACACCTCTCTCATCTCTCTAGAGGGACAGGTAGAACTTTCATAAATTAAACAGGTTTAATTCCAGGGCCAAGCAAAAGATATGGACACTTATCTACATAAAGTAAAAGATTTCTAGTATGATGCCAGGTTGTTGGAGTTTATTTTAGCAGAACTGGTTGTTTTCAGCCCTACATTTATAAGCATGCTTCATATAGCACAACAAATATATGGTATATCAAACCTGCTTCTCTGGCTACTAGTGTCCCTATTTAGTTAAGTATTTTAATATGCTCTGCACTAAATATCTCTTTTAGTTCAAAGTTGTGAAATACAGGAACACTTTCTCTGACCTGAGTAGGTGTTTTACCTATGAAACCAGTGGAATTTAAACACAGGCTTAATAGTAACTATAATCTATTGTGGAATCCAAGTTGGATATCATATGCTATTGCCCCGTGCTTTTGGAACTACAAACAGAATGTTTTAAAAGTGAGGAATGCTATGTGTAGAAGTAGAGGGAAATGGAAAGCTCCCTCAATTGTTTTCTATACATGATCAGCCAATTTGTTCAAAATGTAATGCTTTCCATTTCCAGCAAGGGATGATTTATGGATGGTTTTATGTAGTCAAATTGGATGTGGATATATGAAGTCTAATTTTCCTGAACCTTTATGAAGTAAAATCCTTTTGGGCCACTCTGGAAC